TAGGAAAAATTTGATCGTTTCAATGTCTAAATTCTCCTAAGTCTTCACTTCTGCCTGATCTTTTATACCTATTGTCTCTAAATTCCACAGTTCAGTATTATGATTTTGCACTTGGACTTGTAGGGTCCAACCCAATTTTGTTTCAATGGCAGTAAGGTTTTTGTCAATTGGAATGATATTATTTGTCATGAACTGTCTGGAATAGTTGGCTCCTATTAACACTCTGATATCTGGTGCACCTCTACCAGAATCACTGATTTTGATTTTATGTTCTCGAAGTGAGGAACATATATGTTTGAGTTTCACTCTAGGAATGTATCCACAAATTTTGTCTTTATCTAAAACCAATAATTCATATTTGAATTTATTTTCCATACCTTGTATTTCAATACAAAAATACCATGGACTTGAGATTGTTTCAACACCACCAAGCAGATTGTGGCTCAAACTCTCTTGATCTAATGAGACTAATCTAGTTTCTTATATCTTTCCATAAGTAAAATCTTTGTGACCCACTGTCAAAAAAAGCAAATTCTGGTTTCCCATTACAGACAATCTTCACCATAACAGTTTGGAGAAGAGGACAACTTTCGCCGTTTGAGAAATTGTCAAATGTATTAAAGTGTTTGAAATCACTTAGTGCACCTAATTTATGGAAGGATATATTTTCATATAACGAATTAACAGTTAACATGACGCAGAAAACTGATCAACAGTTTGGCGAAATGTTAAACTGTACAAGACTAGGTGTAGGAGCAAGTCAAAGATATAAACACTTTATCTCATAGACTCCCAAAATTAAAACCCCTAAACAAAAATGAATATTTAACTGAATAATTTTTCAGCAATGCCCGACAATATGGTGTGTTTGCTTGCCACTAAAAATATGTGTAACCTGTTCAATAATGCAATGTTATTAAGTATAGAAAAGTCAGAAATCATATTAAATGCCATAGATGAAATAGACTGCTCACAATGCTTAACTAAATGAGCAAGGGAACCTTTAAAGAAAAATAAGGATGATTCTTCATTAACTGCAGGTTTAGAATACGTCATTCTAGTCAAAATTAGAAGCGTGTGTAATCCTGTGTAGGAACATAGACGTTAGCAAGAGGCTGGTAAATGGATAGATTGAAGAAATAGAAAAAATACTTCAGGATGTTGAAAACCATTAGCAAAGCAAGTAAAATTTAAATTAAATTCAGCCATAACATAACATACGAGTTAGAACAAGTGAAGACTAAGTTTAAGATAATGAATAATGCATATGTTTACTGAAAACAATTCCCTATTTGCTTGGCATATGCAATAACAATCCACAAATCACAAGGCCTTAGTCTTAACAGTGTCCCGCTTGATATAGGTTCTTCAATATTCAGCAAAGGGCAGGTGTATGTTGCACTCTCTCGAATTAAAACCATTAATGGGATTTATCTCATTAGTTTAGATCCAAGCCAAATTAAGCTCTATAGTAGAGTGCAACCGCCTGCAAACATTTAAAAAAAATACCAAACACTCTAACATTTCCACCGTTATGAGAAATATGGAAATTGCAAATATACAGAAACCAATGCAGCGTAAACACAAAAAGAAAAATTGAAGGTCATGTATTTGTTTAGACGCTTTTTCATTTAATAAAATTTATTTCATTTTCATAAAAAGAAACCAGTGTAGCATAAATGCAAGGGAAAAAATTGAAGGTCATGTATTTGTTTAGACGCTTTTCCATCCTCTTCAAAAATTAATGATATGATAACAGCAACATAAATGTGAAAAAGAGGACATGTTCGGAAGAGTCGAGGTTCAGTGTAGTCAGTGTCACTGACAATAAGAGTTGAGATCTAATGGATGGCAAGTTCTATAGCAGTACCTTTAATCATAACTATATGAATGTACAATGTTCTTCAATTCATTAAAAAAAAAAATTATTACTTTCTTTGATATCGGATTTCTAACTTGGAAAGTTAATTTCTAATTGGAGAAGTCATATTTTTTTAACGTAATTTATTCGCAATTAAAACTTGGCAAGTTAATTTCTAATTGGAGAAGTCAAATATGTTTAACATAATTTATTGACAGTTAAAACTTGCCAAGTTAAAAATCTAATATCAAATAAAGTAATAAATTATTTTTTTTAATGAATTTAAGAACATTGTATATTCTTACAGTTATGATTAAAGGAACTGCTATGAACTTGCAAACTGTCAGATCTCAACCCTTTTGTCAGTGACACCGACTACACCGAATATCATCTCTCCTGAACTTGGACTCTTTTTCACACTTATGTTGTTATGATTTTATTCAACTAATATACATCATGTGATATTTAGAACACAAATTTTTAGTCTAGAAATATTTCACACAGTACAAGTAGCTTAAAACTTTGTATATAAATATGACAACAGGATAAACATGCATGGATATTTCAATTCTCATGTTTTTTAATTTCATTATTGTATGCAAATCATATAAATATGTAAATATAATCATTATTTCCAATGCTGCAATTTTTAATTTAAAGTATAAGGTTAGGCTAGGTTAACTGATTAAGGTAAAGCAACTCAAGGGCTTTCTGCCAATGGGAAGGATGCCTTCATGGAGGACTTTTTTAAGGAAACTGGCTTTGATTCATATTACACATGAGAGAAACCATGAAAAATAACCATGCAGCCTGCCAGTTTACAAGGATTTAAGCCCAGGATAAACTACCAGTATTCAGAGAGTTAACGTTTGGCTGTGGTGGACACACTTTAAATATTAGGATTTCTTTATATCACAAAAAATATATTTAAATACAGGATGCTGCGGCAGCGTTCATAGCGTAATTTGACTTGCGTAGTACAATGACATACTGCATGAATGCGCGCCAGCTCGTGCCGCATTTGTGTACTAATGAGCTGTCATTTCGAGTGTGACAGTGATATGGGTCGGTGGAGTGCACATCGCCTTGGCTGTCGAAAGTTATTTCAAGAATAACTACTCTGTTATTGCTACCCAGCGTCTATTTCGGTAACATTTCAACTTGGGACATCATGGGAAAGTTCCAGATGGACAAACCATTGCGACAGACATTTCCAGGTAGAGTAATTTCCCATTTTGATGAGATTTCCTAGCCACCTCGCTCATATTTTTAATTGCATAATTTCTGCATGCCATCTTACCAGATTTAAATTGATGATCTATAATTCGGAAAAACCCTTAATCCGGAATCGCCGAAGTCCCGACGAGTCCGGATTACGGACTTTGTACTGTATCCTACTATGAACACTGCCGCATCCTGTATATATGTGTAAAATATGTATACCTATATGTATGATAATAATATATGTAAGAATCTAAATATTCAATTTGTTTATATATATATATATCTAAATATTCCGGAATACAAAACTTTCTAATATAAGTAAGAATCTAAATATTTTAATAAAAAGCAAATTTTACAAGAATTGTTTTTCAGCCTCACGCTTTACTGCAAAACATGCCTGGGTATACTGTGACATTCAGCCCTCCTAGCTTACAGGCCCATGGAAGAACTTCATTTTCTGTGTGCTGGAAGGGATATGGTTTATCAGGTTCAGAGCTCATGGGTAGAGTAGACTTTAAGGTACCCCTTGTATTATGGCGAAGTTGTTGTTTGATTTATCGCCAAGTTGTTGTTTCATTTATGGTAGCCTGAGTAGTTAAATGTTATGGAAACCCTATTATGACTTAATTGGGTGCATGATTCTGGGAAATTTTGAATCATGGGATGTTTTGTAAGCGTTTGTGTGTTGGTTTTGATTCTTTAGATGGTAGAATTGTAGTAGAATTCTTAGACGGTAGAATTAAGTGTTAGTTTGATTCTTTAGACGGTAGAATGGCAGAATGTAGTAAGATTAATTTGAAGTTTCTATACGATTTGGAGCGAAAGGCTGTAAGAGCTTTAATTGACTGGTGTGTAAATGAAGGTTTACTTAGTAGCCATTATAAGTGTCCTGTATGTAGGAAGGATATGCGTCTAGTCGAACGTAAAAACCATTTAGATGGATTTGAATGGGTTTCTAGGAAGAAAGGTTCAGATGGTCACTATGTGAAGGGTTCGATCAGAAGAAGTACCTGGTTTGAAAAAAGTCATTTGAGTATGATTGATATTTTGATTTTTACGTGGCTCTGGATGTACGAAGCGAACTCGAAAATCATGGTAAGTGAATATTTGCTTTTGGTAGTGCTTAAATGTATAGCATGTTTTTTCTTTTTTTATGTTATTTTATTGTTTGGTTTAAAATGTATTTTATTGAGATTATGTATTTTTTGTTTGCCTATATTGTAGAATTTGGTGCTCCTTTGACTTTTTAAGTGAAAATATATTGATGCGTACATGGACAATGTAAAGGGAGTGTGGAACGCAAGTTTGTGCAATTCTGGGATTTTTTTTTTAAGTGAAAATAGGTTGACGTGTACATGGCTAAAGTTAAAAGAGTGCGCAATGCCATTTTTTGTGCAATTCTGGGATTTTTTTTTAAGTAAAAATAGGTCAACGGCTAAAAGTCAAAAGTGTGCGTAATGCCATTTTTGTGCAATTTGGAGAATTTTTTTTTAAGTGAAAATGAGTCGATGTGTACATGGATACCGAGTTTGTGCAATTGTTTGTCTTGTTATTTTGGCTTTCTGTAGCGGCGATTTTTATGCCAAAAATCGCTTCGCAAACCAAAATAACGAGTCAAAGAATTGCACAAAAATCGGTATCCATGTACCGCCAAAAATCGCCAAGTTTCGCCAAGGGGTACCCTAAACTATACTTTTACCGAGCTCATTATCCTAAAGGGCAAACTTTGTTAGCAATTCCTCTTGCAAACAATTCCTCTTGCATAGCAAATTCAAATATTTGTCTAGGAATGCACATTTATACAAATTTGTTCAGTTGTTCGACTCAAAAATAAATCAACACCTTATAGATGATGATGAATTTTTGAGTTATAAATTGAAGAGTAAGAACCATATTTTCCATTTGGTGGACTTACTTGCAAATTGAATGATGTCCTGAGCCATCTATGAGGTAAAGATGTCATTATTATTCAGGTTCAGATAATTCTTTCAGGCCTTTAAGTTAAACTAGGCTTGTTTAAATCTTCATTGTCAAGAAGAGATTTTCAATATTTTTCAATCCTATAAAAACTGGAAATAAAAGATGAAGATTTAAAAATACCCACATAGCCTCTTCAAAATTTGAATGATTATTGTAAATTGCGCTTTTGGGGACTTAAAAATCATTCATATTCCATATCAGGCTATACCTCATTTTCATTTAAAGTTTAAAAAAAAAAAAAAAACTGAATATAACTTAACAGGATAAATTTATTGAATTCTTGATGTTAAATATTTATTAAATCACAGAGTTGACAGTGAAGATATTTAAAAAAGAGACCTTAATTTTTTTTTTCTTTTTTTCTCTTTTAGCCGAAATCAATTAACTATTATGTCAAATACATCACCTGATTATCTTTCAGTATATAGAATAATATATTTCAATTGAATTTTGATATTAACAACAAAAAGCAGAATTCTTACTTTACGCTTCATCATTCTGAATTCGAATAAGGCAGTCTATGCTTTAATTACACAGCAGGAATACAAGTTAATGCACTTACATATGATCTCTTTACAATTTAACAAATATATTCCCCCAAAATATTTAATAAAAACTTATATTCAGGTACATGTGTATTAAATCCCCCATTAAGTTTATAAGGTATTCTGTCCCTCCTTTCTGCATACCTTTGTGGCATAATCATTAGCAGATTGTGCACAATCGAAAGGTCCAGGTTCGAGTCATGGCAAGGGCATTGCACAATTTTCACCTTTCCCTGCTTTAAAATAACCTAATAGTTCTACAGTGGCACCTAAACTAAAAGGTGGTGGATGATGATTCTTCACCACCAGGGTTTGGCGACTGGGTTCCCCTAATTCCCAGCCGCCTTTTAAAAGGGGGAATGTATAAGGTATTCTGTCCCTCCTTTCAGCCTGCCTTTGTGGTATAATGGTTAGCCAACTTGATGCGTATTAAAGAGGTCCAGATTTGAGTCCCGGCGAGGGCATTTTTCACATTTCCCACATTTAAAACAACCTAATGACTCTACAAGTTCTATCTGCTGGCATAACAAAATCTTAAAAAAATTACTTTAGAAGAGTAAAATGTCCAAAACTATGCTCAGATCTGTTCATGAAAAATATGAAAAACTTCTGATTCAGTGATTCTTATTGCTAGGATAAAGAAGTTTTGGTTAGATTAGATTTAAAGGTGCCCCTTGGATTATCGCTAAGTTGTTGTTTCATTTATCGCCAAGTTTTTGTCTCATTTATGGCAACCTGAGTAATTGAATGCTATGGAAACCCTATTATGATGCAATTGGTTGCGGTGAATTTGAATCATAGGAAAAATATGGAACGTGTGTGTGTCGGATTTTGGTAAGGGCTTGTGTGTGTTGGATACTGTCTGTCTTATGTTAATTTCCTCCTTCACGTACATTCGGTGTTCGTAGATTTGGAGTGAATAACGATGACATTTGATGAACTATCGAAACACACTTTATTTAGCCAATATTAATCAGGACAGCTCCAATAACACTTTTTACAGTCGTCGAAGATCTACTATAAACACGCTGGAACAATCAGCAGCACAGCACTGTCAGGCAATAACGGTGGAGATAGCTTCCTGCAAAGAACCCGACACTGCTTGGTCATTCTCGGAACTCCACGTACTCTCGACTCTCTACGCTAAAACGCGCGATGCACTCGACGACACACAGAGCACGGCTCCCAACTCTTCGGTTCAGCCATTCCCGGAGCTCAACATGCTCTCTCGACAATGCCCTAACCACGATACACTAACAGACTCCTTTGGTGCACTCGACGACCCACTCGTCACTCGTTGCCTGGCTATCAACTCGATCGACTCCGTACTGCTCGCTAGATGAAGCACACTTGTAACTAACTCTCCGCATACCAGCAGGGTTTATATAGCTTTTGACTGGTGACTGGTTTAAAGTAATTAGGATTGTAAGGTAATTTTTATTAATTTAATGTATGTGCTCATTTATATTTTAAGTAGTGTTTTTGAATTTAATTATATTTTAATGAAATGATAGTTATTTTGTGAATTTTATGTTTGTAGGAATTTGGTATACGTTTTAGTTGAAGTAAACGTGCATGGAAATAATTTAAATATCTGACACTAAGTATTTGTAATGGTTGCGGTATGAATTCGTTGGTGACGTTTATAATAAATAGATGATTTAGAGGTAAAAGTTTTTGGATATTTTATTTATTTTATATGTGGAAATGTTCATATTTGGAAAGGGTAAATACTTTTTCGCGATCAGGTAATTTCATATATGTTCTTTTTACCGGGTTTAAAGATTGAGAAAATTGTCATGTATTTTCGTGAAATTTTTCTAATTTATGAGAAAAAAGCAGTGTACATGGATATAGTGAAGAGTGTGCGCAATGCCATTTTTGTGCAATTCTGGGATGTTTTTTTAAGTAAAAATAAGTCGACGTGTACATGGTTTAGTGATATTTTAATTAAATGATAGTTATTTTGTATACGTTTAAGTTGAAGTAAACGTGCATGGAAATAATTTAAATATTTGATACTAAGTATTTGTAATGCTTGCGGTATGAATTCGTTGGTGACGTGTATAATGTAATAGATGATTTAGAGGTAAAAGTTTTTGGATATTTTATTTATTTTATATGTGGAAATGTTCATATTTGGAAAGGGTAAATACTTTTTCGCGATCAGGTAATTTCATATATGTTCTTTTTACCGGGTTTAAAGATTGAGAAAATTGTCATGTATTTTCGTGAAATTTTTCTAATTTATGAGAAAAAAGCAGTGTACATGGATATAGTGAAGAGTGTGCGCAATGCCATTTTTGTGCAATTCTGGGATGTTTTTTTTAAGTAAAAATAAGTCGGCGTGTACATGGTTTATGTGTATGTGTTATTTTGAAAAACGCGTAAGGAGTATGGTATTGTGCACTTTTCCCAATTTTGCAGTGAATATTTGTCATGATTAAGCAGTTTTGTTTGATAAAATTTCTAGCATAAGTGTAATTCGGCTAGTAGATTGTTGGAAGAAGTGTTCAGTAGATAAAAAGAAAAGAAACATGTCTTTACTTCGTGAAGACAAAATGGCGGCGGGGAAAAAAAAATAGAGGGTTGCTGTAGGAGAGTTGGTTGCCAAATTTTCGCCAAAAAATCGCCAAGTTACCATAATGTAAAAATCATTTCCTTTAATTTTATTAAAATATCGGTTGAGTGTAAAATGATTGTTTGGAAAATTCTCTTTCAGTATGAATAAACTTGTACATGGCTAATCTTGGAAATGGTAACAGGTAGTTTGCGACATTTGTAAGGCAATAAGTTACTACCTAGGATTTTAGCAGTATCATTGATTAAGTAAAGAGTGGTGCGCAATGCCATTTTTGTGCATTCTCATTTTTTTTAAGTGAAAATCTTCGACCTGTACGGGATGATATTGTGTATGTGCAATTCTTAAAATGCGGCAAGCATGGGCGATTCGCACTTGTCCCAATTTTGCAACTTCTTCGCATGAATAAGCACTTTTGTTCCACAAAAGTTCTAGCATAAGCATAATTCGGCTAGCAAATTGTGGGTTTAATCCTAGTATCCGGTGCACATGGGATTTGGCTACTTTGGCGACTTTTATAAAAGCAGTAAACAAACAGCTACGATGAGTAGTAACGGGTCTTCAATGAATATATATAGTTATACATAGAATATACTTTGCATATAGGGATAGTATATAGTGTATAGTATATACATAGACGTTCTCTGGGTCATTTTTGGTGTTGGCGATAATTTTCAAAAAAGCGCCAAGGCTGCACCGTATACTAGGATTTTACCAAATGCGAGTAAAAACAAAAAATAAAAAAAAAATGCCTTTACTTCGTGAAAACAAAACGGCATCCAAACAAAAACTAGCAGGTTGCTGTAGCAGGGTTGGTCGCCAAATATTTGCCAAAAAATCGACAAGTTACCATAATCCAAAGATTAACCGTTTACACATGTCTCTATTCAACTTTTAACAATATATTTTAAAACAATATAATATTATTCTTTCAAATTGCACATTTTTTTGGCTGATCTTTGGAATATGGTAACAGGTAGTTTGGCGACGTTTTGGTAAGGCGACAAAGGTTACTAGCTAGGATTTTAGCTGTATACATTGATTAAGTAAAGAGTGTGCGCAAAGCCATTTTCGTGCAATTCTGGGATGTTTTTTTAAGTGAAAATAGGTCGACGTGTACATGGATGATATTGTGTATGTGCAATTCTTAAAAACGCGGCAAGCAGTGGGCGATTCTGCACTTTGTCCCAATTTTGCAACTAATCTTCGTCATGAATAAGCACTTTTGTTCCACAAAAGTTCTAGCATAAGCATAATTCGGCTAGCAAATTGTTGGAAAAAAATGTTGGGTTTAATCCTAGTATCCGGTGCACACGGGATTTGGCTACTTTTGGCGACTTTATGATAGTAAGCTGTAAAAACGGGACATATACGATGAGTAGTAAGAGGTCATTCAAAGAATATATATCGTTAAACATAGTATATACCATGTATATAGTGATACTATATAGTGTATAGTATATACATAGACGTTCTTCAAGTCATTTTTGGTGTTGGCGATAATTTTCAAATTCGCGCCAAAGCTGCACCGTATACTAGGATTTTACCCATAAAAGTTCTAGTATAAGAGTAATTCGGCTAGCAGATTGTTGCAAAAAATGCTGAGTTAAAAAAAAAAAAAAAAATACACGATTTTACTTTGTGAAAACAAAATGGCGTCCAAAACAAAACTAGCAGATTGTTGTAGCACGGTTGGTCGCCTTAAAATCGCCAAGTTACCATAATCCAAAGATTAACCGTAATGTTTGCGGTATGAATTCGTTGGTGATGTTTATAATATAATATTATTCTTTCAATTGCACATTTTTTTTTTTATCTTTAGCATAAGTTTTCTTGCAGTATTTTCTTTGTAACTTATAAGTTTATAAACACAGTAACGTAATAATGTTATTACATGAATACACATTTTTGAAATTAAGTATCACTTAAAAAAATGAAATAATACCATATGTTTATATTTCAAGATTTCATGCGAAGTACAAAAAATAATATTTAATTAATTTAAACTTTACAGAAAAATTAAAATAATGAAAAAAGTAAGATAGTAAAAATACTTCTATGCTTATAAATGCATAACTATTATTTTAAATCAAATGCTATAGAAACCACGAGTATAAAAGAAGAAAAAACTATTTTCATACCCAATGTGAAAAATATAAACCCCATCGAAAAATGAACGTGAATCTTTCTAAAGAAATCAAATCAAACAAACACTTCAAAAAAAAATTTTGAAAACAAATGAAAGAATTACAATTCACACTTCATATTTAAAATAAGAAACATTCATTTCCTTACACCATAAACATATTATAAACTCAAACTTAACTACGAGCAAAAATATACAAAACACATTGTTGCCAATACAAGAAGTCAAGGAGAAACATTATATCATAAATAAATAAGGTGCTCACCCTGGGAATCCTGCATGTAATTTCAGAAAGCATGAGGCACACTAGTATGTATTGTATATTTGTTTTTGATTTGGTAGTACGTCATGAATGTTTAAATTTCTATGACTTTTAAAGCAAAAGGCCTTTTTGTTTGTAGAATATTGGGCAGTGAGCTTTAAGTTAACTGATATTGATTTACTCGACTAATATCAAATGTTATTAAATTATTACGAAACCTATTCATGATGGTTATTACACGATAATGTTACGCAAATTCAGTCTAAATGAATCCTCAGTCCATACGTCCTACACGGTCAACATCCAGTCAGACTGGCTGCGGCTAACTTCACGTTGTTAAATCGAATCTGGATTTTTTTTTTTTTTTTTTTTCTTTTCAGTCTCGAAAAATCGCAACATTTGCTACGTGCTGAAAAGTATCAAATAAAAGGTTAGCAAGATGCGGAGTAAAACGGGATGCTTCTACGAAGCCTCAAATTCTTAATATCTAAATGCAGATGACACTCCTGTTATTTGCTTTAATGGTTTGGCAATACTCATTAAGAACCTTATTTTCACTCAAAATAGATGGCGCAAGTTTAAATGTTTGTTTAATTTGTACCTTCATTACGTTTAATTTAATTTTCATCAGCTGTGTATTATAGAGGTATAGCACTATTCGTATTGTTACGTAGTTGACTGTAACTTTATAGCGCTTTTTAGTAGGTAGTATATGTAGATTTAATTTGCTGTTAATTCAGCCAGAGTTCATCTAATATGCTTCTGTTTTAGAGTGAAATCACAATTCTACCCGTAGCCCCATTCATTATTTTAATTTATTTTTTAATTTTATGTCATTAATATTTATTTAACTTGTCTCCTATATATTTTATTCAATTTTAATTATTTATGTTGATATAATAATAAGGAAAATCAAATTTTTTATTTTTTTTAACCTTCTAAAACCGGACCGAAATTCTCATATAATATAGCCTTCAGACCGGCGCGATCCGAAACAGTTTTGACCCCTCTTTGACAATTTCCTAATGAGAAATGTCGTTAGTTCCCCTCCATAGGTGCAGTAAAATTTACATGTTTGTCGGACGCTGTCCTATAGTAGATGGGTTGCTAGATTTGGGTTTTTTTCGATGATTATTTTGCTTTCATTTAAATGAAGTTCCAAATAAATATGCAGTACTGGATGCATATCCAGTGAACTATTTATTTAGAACAAAATGTATGCAATGATTATATTTCACTCACTATTTCTGATCAATCTCGTAAATAATTTGTGAATTTTTTAACTTCGTTTTCACTCTTCATTTATATTTCGTATTAGAAATTAGAAAACGAGAACAAAATTTTACAAAATATAGTAAATACAAACTAGCTTTGTAAGTCTATAGGCTGGAATGCGATTTTTAATAACATATTTTCATTAACAAAATGATGGTAATGACTAATTTAATGAAATAAAAATAATAATATTTATTACCATTAGATGATTAGAATGAGATTCAATACAATTAGATTTTTGAGATGAACTTATAGCAATACTAAAGTTTTACATAACAATAACAGAGATTTAAATCTGTTTTTTTCGATAATTTTGTTATTATAATATAACAAAGAAAATCCGAGATACATTGGTTGCGTTTCATCACTTAACTTTAACAAATATTACATTAGACTATCAGGCAAAGGAGGTATATCTTCAATGAGAATTTTTCTTTGTAAAATTGGCTTTTGTTTATGTTAGCAGAGAAAAAAAATCTGTGATTTATACATACAATCATCAGAAGTATTTTTCAGAACAGTTTTAAATGTTCGTGAAGAATTAATTATACGTCAATTTCTTTTCATAGGTAGAAATTTCGGTTGATCTTTGGATTATGGTAACTTGGCGAAAATTTGGCGACCAACTCTGCTACAGCAACCTTCTACTTTTTTTTCAGCGCCATTTTGTCTTCACGAAGTAAAGACATGTTTCTTTTCTTTTTATTTACTCAACACTTTTTTCCAACAATCTGCCAGCCGAATTACACTTATGCTAGAAATTCTATGGAACAAAACTGCTTAATCATGACTGGAAAAAAGTGCAGAATCGCAAACTCCTTGCCGTGTTTTTCAGAATTGCACATACACAGTAACCATGTACGTGTCAACTTATTTTTACTTAACATCCCAGAATTGCACAAAAATGGCATTGCGCACACTCTTGCCTTTATCCATGTACACTGTTTTCTTCTCATAAATTAGAAAAATTTGCAGAAAAATTTTGTGAATCTTTAAACTCGGTAAAAAGTACATATATGAAATTACCTGATTGCGAAAAAGTGTATACCATTTTTAAGGATGAACATTTCCACGTATAAAATAAATAAAATATCCAAAACTTTTCCCTCTAAATTATCTATTGTAAACGTCACCTACGAATTTATAACGCAAACATTAAAAATGGTTTCAAATACTTAGTGTCAAATATTTAAATTATTTCCATGCACGTTTACTTCTACTGAAACGTATTCCAAATTGCTACAAACATATAATTCACAAAATAACTATCATTTAATTAAAATATAATTAAACCATATACACGTCGACTTATCTTTACTTAAAAAAAATCCCAGAATTGCACAAAAATGGTATTGTGCACACTCTTCACTATATCCATGTACACTGCTTTTTTCTCATAAATTAGAAAAAATTCACGAAAATGCAGGAAAATTTTGTGAATCTTTAAATTCGGTAAAAAGGACATATATGAAATTACCTGATCGCAAAAACGTATATACCCTTTCCAAGGATGAACATTTGCACGTATAAAATAAATAAAATATCCAAAAACTTTTCCTCTAAATTATCTGTTATAAACATTACCTGCAATTTTATAATGCAAATATTAAAAATGGTTCCAAATACTTAGTGTCAAATATTTAAATTCTTTCCATGCACATTTACTTCTACTCAAACGTATTCCAAAATACTACAAACATATAACTCACAAAATCATGATCATTAAATTAAAAAACACTACTTAAAATATAAATAAGCACATACATTAAATTATTAAAAATTAGCTTACAATCCTAATTACTTTAAACTAAATCATTGCTAATAACAATTTCCATAATGCATATTACTTATCCTTACATACATAAAAATAGTATCCTCAAATGATAAAAATACTAACTTGCCTAATTTCTCACACTTGATTGCATGGGGATAACTTTTCTTACAGATTCAATATCCAGTAGTCAACGGGTAAAATCTTAGTATACGGTGCAGCCTTGGTGCGACTTTGAAAATTATTGCCAACACCAAAAAATGATCTAAAGAACGTCTATATATATATATACTATACACACATAGTATATATACTATATACATAGTACATACTATGTTTAACTGTATATTTTCTTTGAATGACCCCTTAACTACTCATTGTATATGTCCCGTTTTTACTGCTCATCATAAAGTAGCCAAATCCCGTGTGCACCGGATACTAAGATTAAACCGTCAACCGGCAGTCTATTCACCCACTAATAAGAAATTAATAAAATTTCACCCATACTCAAACGACTTTCAGCAAACCACATACCCTTCCTTACACTCTGTTTCACAAAATGTCCATTTTCACCAGATTTCTTGCATGGCCATTCAAACTTATCTGTAATATCCTTCCTTTCACACAATCTCATTTCATTCCCACATGTTGGATATTCATACTTATCCGTAATAATCTACACTTGTACACCATTCAAGCAATTTTTGATTATCAGAATAAACGCAATAAAAGTTTAGAATTCACTTAGATAGCGCCATAAATCCAAAAATTAATCAACACTCTTTCACACAACACAATGAAGCTAAATACAAAATGCATAACTACTGCAGATCGCCCCTTTTTCGATTAAAGACTGTATTCGTCATAATGTCCATGATATATCTCATGATCTACCATTTCCCTCACACAAAATAATGCGTAATTAACTGAGTACTTCTCACATTATTCCCAAAGTCCTAGGCGAGTAACCTTTCGCCTACCAAAAGTCACCAATTACCTGTTACCATATTCAAATTAGCCGAAATTTCGTCTAAAAATCAGTATATCCAAAGGTTGAAGTCTATTTGATTTTCAACGAACATTCTATTTGCACATAACATATTTTCTAATTTAGTTTATAAAGAGTAACCTTTCACGTTTTCAAGAGAATAAGGGCATACTGGGTGTTGACACTTACAATGTAGTAATGTTTTTTTTCATATTTCTTCCAGTAATGAAAACGATTACCCTGGAATATTTTCAAAGCAAAATTAAGAAAAACGTTTATGCCAAATTTTGCATAAAGTATCTTCTCGTGTATTTTTTTATTTAAAGTGTGAAATTTTTTCTTCGAAAATATAAAAAATCATAAATGAAGCAAAATTAATTTATGAGAAATAACTTTGAAATGCAGTAATTCCATCGTAATATGAAATAGTGGAGAAAAGTGCAATACAGTTTATTTAATCACAAATAATCCCCTCATATGCGTAATTTATATACTGTCGATTGAGAAATATAGGTTAGTAAATTAAACCGATTATTTCAATACTTTTTCTTTATCAGTTTTTTTTTTACAGGCCCTTTAGTAGAGCAGTAAAGGTGACTGAACACTTGTAGTTCGCTCGGGTTTGAATCCAGGCTAAAGGGTTGGATTCATGGTTTTCACTATGTGTAACGTAAATGCACAAGACCAACTTCCGCCTCAGAAGTCCTCTGCACGAAGGCATCCCTCCCCTTTATACAGGTATTGTTGTGTGCTTTGATGTAATTCAGTAAGCGAACAAAATTAATTCCAAATCAAATCCCGAAAGAACGGATTGATTACATGTGGAATTTTCCATCAGGAAAGTAAATGCGAACAATTTTCTCTTAAAAAGGTTTACACAACGAAAGCATCGATCCCCCTTAAGCAGATAGCGTTCAGGTGCTTTTCTGTAATCCAATCCTAATTGTCATACATTGTAATAGTAAGTTGACATACACCTTATTACAGACAAAATAACATTCCTCTTTTTAAAGGTAAATTTTTATTAACTTGTCTTGAATTCCCTTGATATCACTTGAGGAGCATAAGAATTTCAGCAAATAAAACTGGCTGAAATTTTATACAATGTAAATGATGTTTTGATTCAATTTAGAAGTAATGTGAGCTTTACTGATATTTAAACACTTTTTGGCAGATCTCA